ACTTCCAAATACTTATGGGCAAGTACCAACAGTGATTCATTCTYACATCTCAAAATATGGATAGAACAGTGTGAATTGCTCACCATGGCCCAAAAACAAAGAAAAAAAATACAAGTAAAAACCCATGTAATAATAGTGGCCAATATTCGCCCTTACGATCAAAGGACAAACAATGGTGGTTAACTTACATAATTATTTATACTAAATAGGGCCATATATGCTGGTCCACTGGCAAGAGTGTAATCGTGGTTATATTTAAGGTGATGTACTATTAGTCCCCTAAACTGTAATTCCAAWGTCTAGTAAATGTGAAGCTGCCGATATCATCAGAAAGGACACTTGGACTCTGGGTCTGTCTCTGAGAATCCACCAGAATGATATTACTTAGAGGAAAGAGAGACATTCTATCCTCTGTGAGAGCTTTCACATATTACTTTCTAAAGCAAGCTGCTGAAATTGCTATGAGTAAAATTCATCCTAAGCATATGCAATTCACAGATKGTCAGTCAACAGGGCCAGACATCTGATACTGTACTTCAATGCCTTTCAGTGCCTTCTGAGATTAAAATGATAAATCCAGCACTTGGTTTCTAAAGGGTCTTAGTGAACACACCCCCACTACTGGCTGGATTCAATTAGCCTCCCAGCTGGCTTTGCAAACTTCCTAGATGCGGGGGAGGGGGAATATAAAGGAAGCTTAACCAAATGTCCATGAAAAGTGAAAATCACAGTCAAACCAATTATTTAAATAATTCTTAATAATTCTTGAGCTCSATCTAATTGACTGTGCCCACGGACATGAGGATTGACAATCTTGAGACATTGTCCATAGGGTCAACTGTGGAATTTTCTTAGAAAAGGCAATCTTTTCAAAACAAAATGAAAAGAAGGTGTGAGAAAACACTGTGATGTCCAACGGGGATAGGCTAGGAGACCAAGCCAAGAGCTATACTCTATTCTGTATGTGCCAATTGTTAAAGAATAAACCAGTAATAATTAACTGAGAATTAAAATGTTTCTTACCATAATTTCAAATGTCCATTAATGACAGAAGAAAGTAAAACAGAATGAACTTACTATGAACTTGAGGACAGAATCTAGCTTTTAAAATTGTTTTACAGGGGAAAATGTGTTCACAGGGAAACATTGTATGGGTAGTGTATATTTTAAAACCTTGAACTTTTCTTATTAGTAAAGCCTAACTATAAGTAAGACCATTCTACAGTACTAAGTCAACATTAAACACACACACATATACCATATTCACAGCAAGCAACATGGCAAGAGTCAAATTRCTCGGTAGGTGGGTCCTTCCTTGGACAGGCTGAATGTCCTGAACATTCTGATCCCATCCCCATTTCAGGACCAGGGACACAAGCCTGAGGCTACCTTCCCTTAATTCCTCATAATCATTAATTGCCTTTAATATTAGAGTTATTCACTATTGTCAAAAAAGTTTCAGATGCTAGCTGATAGTCCCAAAGCTTACCTCAGAGAAAAAAACAAAAGAGTATTTTCTTTTTAAACAGCATCTTTCATTTTATTGATACTACCTCTAAAAACATTTCAAAACTTGTTAGTGCTGTCACATGGACCGAGAGTAATTTTGCAGTACAACAGATTTTGAAAAATTATGGATTATGAAATTAAATATGTGAAACCAGAATGACTGTTTAAAGTCTATTGGAGCAATGTTACCATATTGGATCAATATCTGCTAGTCTGTGCTACATCAGTGTGGATATACTCATAGYTACAGACACTCAGGCTCATTGTCTCCTTTTGGGGTTTGAAAAGCAAGTTACTAATATTTAATTAGTGACTTAAAGAATCACACTTCTCTGGACAATAGTAAAAACCATTAAGACTATCCCCCTTTTAATTCACAATGTCTAGCATATTCTGTGCACTCAATACATATTCACTGAATTCAGAAATTAGAACTCAGAATCTTGGATCTTCAAAGTGTCCACCTTCACGCAGAGCTGGAATGAGAAAATAGACCTCTTGGACTTCCCAAGATTTAATTCCTCTACAGAAAGGAGGGGTAGTGGTTCTTTGCTGTAGATACCATCAAAATTCCTGCTTTTTTTCCCTCCCCTGTAATATAGTCCAGACCTCCTGAATCAGAGTGTTCTCAGAAGTAGGGCCAAGGCAAGCTCWTTTCTACAAAGCTCACTTCGTTGAGAATACCTGCTGTCCTTGGAATGMACCACGGATCTCTTCCAGAGTAGCACCTTTACCTGCCTGTTTTGCAAGAGTGTCTTGCTCAACATCTCTGAAGCAATCTCCATGTTGGTTCACTCTTTGATTTGGCCACTGAGCTGCCCCAATGAAAGGCAGCCAGAACAACGACTGAGAAGCCCTGAGCAGGAGTGCAGACCACTGAACAAGCAGGCGTCTGTTGGAAACTTCAGACAAGGGGCCCATCTTAATGAGCCTGCTCCCTGGTACCTTTCCTCTTCATCATCCGACATTAGTCATTCACACACACATCTGACCTGGCTCTCCTGAAACCAGGCAGTTTAGAGTTATGGGAATTTGAATCTTGATTCTGCCTCTTACTAGCTGTAGAAAAATCATTTCATAACTTTACTCTTCTGTACCTCAGTTTCCCCATAAATAGAGCACTCACGTCACTTGAAGTGAAGATTAACAAGACACTTATAACCGTGTCTGGTCTTAGGTCTGAAAGCAACTAGTACAGATGACACCATATCTTAGAACAACAATAACAGTAACAGTAACAACAACAAMAAAACTCACTAAAACCAATAAATCTTCTTGAACAAAATTAATAGATCCTGTATAGAAAGATTTCATCTCATACTTTAATAATTTGTTCCTTAAAGATGTGGTCTCTTGAATGTGGCTTTAGTGGAATGAAATTTGTTTACTACTCAGGAGCATTCTGTTTTAAGTGAATACAGAACAAACAGGAAAATTCAGTGGCATTTCTATTTTTCTCAGACACAAATCTCCAATGGTTAATCCTAGTGTTCAAAGAGTGACATCAAAGAGCTGGGCACATTTCTGGAGCTCTGCAGGGGCTCTAAGAGCTTAATTTAAAATAAAGAGGGTCCCTTTGTCAGAGATAGAGAGACCTTACTTTATTAAGAGAACTCTAGTATCTCAGGAGCACTCCAGACCACTGTCCTAGCCATCACAAGCAGGGAGGAGGGGAGCCCTCCAGGCTAATGTAAGGGGGAGAAAACCATCCACTGGCTCCTTTAGTAAAAAAGACTAATCCTTTATTATTGAAGCCACACCCTGTCTTTTCCCCTTTGCCTGTATTTTGCAAGATTGTTAAAACTCCAGATGTTCCAAAGGAGCTCTTTACTTTGGCAGGTAAATCTCCCTGGAGACTACCAATCTTTCTTCTATGCCCAAGATTCTCAAACCTGGCTCCCCAACCTGAAGGGCTTTGAAAAATCCTATAGCCCCCTCTCACCCACAACCAATGAAATCAGAATGTCCAGGGTGGGAAGTCGACTCCCCCCAACCCCAAATCTCAGGTGAGTGCTCTACGTAGCAAAGTTAGAAACCACTCTTTTATGCCTTACTCCTCCTCCAACAAACCCTCTCATCACCAAAGCCCCAACTCCCCATGCCAATGACATCAACAGCAAGCAGGGACCTGATTCTTGGAACCTGAGCCTATTTTGAAATTGTGCAATTAAACCTTCTGAGGCATGTTTCTCGTGTCAAGTGGGTTTATGGTCGGCAGTCACGAAGCCAAACTTGCTCATGTTCCGTCTGGACATTTGGCATACAAGTAAAACCATGGACATCAATCCTTTATTATTTTTTTCCAATTAAGTTTAATATTTTAGTTGTCCTAATGTCAAACTCTCCAAAAAGGCAAAAAGAAACACCCAAAAGATTAAATCTTGGGATAATGAGAAGAAAAGTTTGCTGTGAGCCCCATTTTGAAACACGGCTCTCCGATAGCCAGCGGGATGAGTTCGCGCGTAGGGAGTTTGGCATAAGGACTCAGGTGTTGCACAGCGGACAGCCATACATCTTGGTCCAGGTCCACTATAAAGCTAAGAGATGCAGTCGAATCACTACAGGTCGTGGGCAAACCTCTGGAGTACCGGCAAGCTGCCACCTTAAAGACACCCTAGGGGTCTTAGGAATGGGCATCAGAAAAGGAGCTTCAGTCAGGCAGCGAGCCCTGGTCCCCCAGCCGCGCGCACCGGGTTTGTGGCTGGGGTCCTCTCCCATAGGGCGAGGGGGCGGATCGGATCCTCCTCACTGCTCTTCAGAGAAGGAAACTACCAGCACCACGCCTTCCCTCCTGCTCGCTGCGGCGAAGAGGAGTTCCAGCCTCCCAGGTCACTGATGCAACTCCATACCCGGGAAATGGGTTTGCAGAGATCAGCGTGAAGGGCCGGGTCGCTTGGTCGCGAGGCACGCGGCTTAACCCCAAGAATGAGGAGGAGGAAGGAGCTGCAGAGGGTACGCTCGGGAAGTCCCCTACCCTAGAAGTCCTTTCTCAGCTCCCTAAGTCCCTAGGACTCAGCTGATGGGACCCTCCAGCCCTGATGCAAGCGCCCTACAGCGTCACCACGGCCCTCCAGCGGACAGTGCCGGGCACACGTGCTGCAACAACAGGCGTCTACCCCGAACCAAGTTTTCGCCCGCAGACGCCGACCCAGCGCAGGAGGGCAAGAAAGTGATAAAAGTAAGTTGGGAGCTGTCGGGTACGTAGGCGCTCCCAGCGGCGGTTCCCATAACCCGCTCGCAGCCCCGCCGCCCTGAGCCCTGCGTCTCCCTTCCTCCGGTCATAGCAGACTCGCCCAGCCCAGAAAAGAAACGTCCAGTTCCTCCCACGGTCCCAGCCAGAAGCGCAGCTGATCCTCAAGGAAACAGGAAAGGAGGGGCGGGCGGGCGGCTCGGGACGCGGAGCCGGTGCGCCGGTGCGCGGGCGGGGCTGACTGCGGGTCRAGAAGCGCGCTCTGGAGAGTGCTGCGGGGGGTCGCGGGGAACGCCCTTACCTTTCTTTTCCTCCAACGCACAACTCGCCCATACCAGCGCAGCTAGCAGCACCAGCAGCGCGGCTCCGGCGGTCCTGGAGGGTCGCATTGCTGCCCCCGAGGAGCTGGCTCCGGCTCTCCGCAATTAWTCCCGGACTGAGTCAGACGGCCGTGCGCGGTGGTGGCGGCGATGAGGCGGAGACTCCGGCAGACGCCTAGGTGGCTTGTCGTCCGGTCTGGGCGGCGGCAGCCGCCAAGACTTGTTCAGGCCGCCCTGGCCGCGGGCGCGCACACCGTGCAGGAGGCGGAGGCTGCAGCGCTGCGCTGGGAGCTGCCCAGACGTCTAGCTTGCGCGGGCCGGGGTGTGGGGAGGCGGGCGAGAGGAGGAGGGACCAGGCAGAGGAGGAGGGATCGGGAGGAGCGGAGGAGGAGGAGAATGCCCAGAGGGAGGAAGAACTCGCCGCAAGGATCGAAAGCAGGCTGCGTCCAGGAGGTGGTAGTGGATGGCTGTGGCCCCATAGGACGGAGCGCTCCTGCGGGAGGCGGGCGGCGAGCAGGAGGGAAGCGCGAGTACTTGGGAGTTAATTTCTGAGTGGAGGGTTCCCTGCGCTTCCCCTTCGTACCTGGTCCACTCTGATTTACATGGCTAGGTAGAGGGGTTAGCCTTCATGGAACCAGCCAAATGTGTCCAAGGTCCCCGTCTTCCTTTCCCTTCTTTCAGTTTACTAAGCAAACTTGTACCAGCTCSGGACGAACTGTCTGAACCCAGGAACCAAGTTTGAGTAGTGGTACGGATGGAGAAGATGCCCTTTATTCTGGTCTCCAACTCCCCCTCCGCACCCTCACCCGGGAATCTTAGCGGAAGCTGGCCTAGCAGCGAAGGTGTTCTCACCCTCTCCGGATGGCAGGAGTGCGAGACGTCTGAAGTGGCGCTCTGAAGTCCGAGGGTCCTTAAGATCTCATCAAGCACCCTCGAAAGTGTCTGAAACAAAGCAACCAATTCCTGGGACAGAGAAGAGCCTCAATAAATGTTTGTTGAGTGAATGCATGAGTACGGAGGGAGGAACGCACTAACAGAATTTCGTATATACACCAGTAACTAGACAGGGATACACATTATGTAAAGTAAATATGCGAGGTAGATTACTTCGTGAAAGTCCAGCTCTTGGAATAAAGACTTGACACAAACAACAATTAAAATACTTTTACAGAGGCTAGGTGGCCCACTGACCTGAGCCAGCCAAAAGAAATTAAGCTTCTTCTAACTGAAGGAACTTCCGCTAAAATCCTTCAGCAAAGTCCAACCTACTTCCATTGCTCCTTCTTCTCTTACAGGAGAAATGTTCTCGCCTTGGCGGGTTCAGCCTCCAGATCTCTTCATTTTTCACAGGACTCTTTGCTAACCCTCAGGCCTGGTCGGACTCTGATTGCTTAGTCTTAGCAGCAATCCCAAACCTAAAAGTACGTGGCGCTAAGGCCTTTCTTGTTRCTACAGCAGAGTAACTTCTGGACTTGATTTACTATCCAGGAAAATGCTCCTCAGCTTCTTACCTGGCATCCTGAATGGTAGACATTTTACCAGAGCACAGGGCTCCTTACTATCCATGGAACCTGTCATTTTTACTGTGAATTAGAGTAATATGCTCTTTTGTTTTAACAAATGGAATAACCACTGACACTTTGAACTCAAGTGTTTGATTCCCTCTTGCAAAGGAACACAAAGACAAGGGGAATATTAAAGAAAGGCAAACGGGGATCACAAGAGTAAATAGACATTAAAATCTTATAAAATAGAAAACGAAATGAATCTTATAAATGCTATGCTTACAGTGAAGTCCTTTGTATTTACAAAATGAGGACCACATTTTGTTTTAAACCACATTTTCTGTTAAGGAAATATAATCACTGCCACAAGTCATAATGCCCATATATTAAAACATAAATCAGTGTAAGCTCTAGCTGATTTTAAGACTGCATAGGAATTTCTTCTCTTGAGTTCCCAGAGAGAACATAATGTGTAAGGACTTCAGAGTTCTCACTCTACTAGCTCTATGAAGCAATAACATTCATAGAGCCATTTGTCATAATATTCTTTAACTATGATCAGATTGATATCAAATCTCAAGAAACAGAATTTCAGCTTGGAAGGCTGAGGATCAAAGCCAGCCTCAGGAACTTAGCAAGGCCCTAAGCAACTTAGGGAGACCCTGTCTCAAAATAAAACAGGCTGGCTATGTGGCTCATTAGGTTCGTTGAACCCAGTGGGCCCCTGAGTTCAATCCTCTGGACAGAAAAAATAAAATAAAATAAATAAATAAGCAAGAAAGAAACAGAACTTTCTGAAAACAATTACCATAGGAGGCAGTGGACACTTTTTAGGCCCACAGCACAATAATGAGATGGATTCCAACTAATGAAGAGGAATGAATTTTGCTGAACATCCTACTGTGGACACCTATATCAAATTTGAGTTTCTTCTCTGAGCTTTTAACATAAACAGTGACGTTCAGGTTGATTTTCTACTTCTTGCCAGGTATCTGAAATGTATTGATAACTAAATTACTCATAAAAAAAGCGCTATCTTCAAAAGAGAGTAGCCTTGCACAGATAAGGTCCTGCAGAGAGGATACTCAATACACAGTCTCTGTGGAGAGTGATCCCAGGATAGCCCAGGTGCTCTGTACTGCCACATCACCACCATAGGGATGACAATAACAGCCTTTTATTATAGCATGATGACACTATGGCTCGGAGAGTTTAAACAACTTCCTAAAGCCCCAAAGTATATTTACTATCATGAGAGGCCACCTTTGAGCCCACATAACTCAACCCTTTCTTTCTGAACTTCTTCTAAACTTTAGCCAAATGGTGATTTTTTATGACCCAAATTCTATTTCATTATATCTTAGAAATATATTGGGTCAGGTAAAACCAAAATTTCTGCTTGGCCAAAAACATTTTGGATAAAGCCTCCATGTGTGCCACACTAGTAAGCATATACTAGACTTTAGTATTTCCCAAAGCAAATCTCATAAGTGTCATCAATTTTTGTAACAGAAACTGCTCCTTTTCTTTACCTGCTACACATGAGAAACAATTTTTCTCTGGTGAGTGTTTATCTTAAAAGGTTTTGAGCATGCTAGAGTTTAGCCTTTAGAAGATTCATAGCACTGAATTCCCTAAAACCACATACTTGTGAAAGGGAACGAGAAACAGTTTATTTGGTCAGGTCAAGATACCAGGGCTTTAAATATTTTAGGTTTTATCTGAGACAAAAGGCATTTGACCACCTGTTGTTCCCCGCCTTAGAAGTCAAAGCAAAGATTGATGAGGAAAAAAGTCAGAGGAGCAGAATTCAGAATTTAAGTGTGTGTGTGCATGCCTGTATGTCTGTATGTGGTATGTGTGGGAATGAGCTTACCTTAAAGTATAAAGTGTTTCTTCATCTTCAGAAATATTTTTACACAGGAATGGGAAGTGCCTAGGGAGGCTGTGAATGAATGAATGACTGAAATATGTCCCTTCCAATCCTAAACTCCCAGGAGAATATATGTTTCTAAAATAGGTTGCCATTTAAAGGTATGTACACTCAACCGCTCTTCTAAAGATGTATTTTAAGGAGACATAAGAATGTGGTTACCATGTTGCCTTAAGAGAGAGCTAGTATGGTAGGGGTCAAGGGTTGGAAGGAGACTTATTCTTCAATTGTTTGCCCTTTTATATGCTTGAAATTTTGTCCTGTGAGTATGTATAGCCTTAGTTTCACTAAGGTATGGGTCACTCCCCTTATGTGATCCCCTGCTGAGGTTCAGGGGCAACCCTGAAGGCTGGCTGTCATGGTGTTCTAGGCCTTTTATTTCTTCCTTTTGAGTCAAATCCTTTGCATTGAATTGTCCACTGAGACCCATCTTTTCTAGAGGGTAGAAGAAACAGTTACTTTTTCAGGGACAATATTCTGACACAAAATTGCTGATGTGTTTTCCCCTTTATCATTAGATGTTCCATTATCTCTAGTTCAGAGGGCTGCATGATGCTTAAAAGAAGCAGAATTGGCACGCTAGTCTAACAAGCAAAATGCTGAACCAGCTGAAGTCAACAGTAATCCTTTGCTCTGTCACAGAAGGGAGGTCGCAGGACAAATCTCTACTCCCAAAACAGAGATATTGACAGGTAGATACAGGATAACATAGCTCACAGTAGCAGAAATTTGTGGACAGAACCCCCAGAAGGACCCAGTGCAGGAGTAGGAAGTCATCCCAATCCTCACAGAGTATATTGAAAAATATGATTAATATGCTAAAGACTTACGGAAAATAGAGCATGCAAGATTAGTTGGGCAATATAAGTAGGAAGATGGAAAATCTAAGAAAGATTCAAGAAGAAATGTTGGAGATTAAAAAAAAATCTAGAACAAAACCCAAGAACACCTTTGGTGGGCACTTTCGTGGCCTGGACTTGACTGAAGAAGGAAATCTATGAATTTGAGGTTGTCTTAATATTAACTACCAAGATTGAAAAGCAAAGAGAAAAAAGACTGGGGGGAAAAGCAAAGCAGAATATTCAAGAACAGTGGTATAATTATAAAAGTGACAGCATATGTATAGTGGAATATAAGAAGGAGAAAAAAAATGTGGAAAAAATACAATTGAGAATTTCCCTAAATTAATATGTTACCAAACCACAAATTCAAGAAGCTCAGGAACCACAAAAGAGGATAAATGCCAAAAACTCTATACCTGGCCATAGCATATTCAATCCTCAGGAAAACAAAGGTAGAAAAAGTCTTGAATGAAGCCACAAGATGGGATGGGGAGGAAGCTTCCCTGTAGAGGTGCTAGAGAGAAGATGCCTATAGAAAAGATAAGAATTGTATTCAACTTATCCTCAGAAACCATGCAAACAAAATAGAATGGAAAGAAATATTTAAAGTGTTGAGAAAAAAAACCCTACAAACGATCATAATTCTGTATCCTGCAAAAGTATCCTTCAAAAGTGAAAATAAATAATTTCTCAAACAAAAATTGAGTTTGTGAACAGTGGACCTGCTCAGGAAGAAATTTTATGAAGTTCTTCAGAGAGAAGGAAAATAATGTGTTGGAAACTAGAACTTAAATAAAGAAGGGAAGAACAACAGAGAGTAAATGTAAAACAATTAATTGATCTGATGTATGTTTTTTCAAAATAATAATAGCAAGTGTATTCAAATCAATACACATATGTGTATACATACATGCTTATATGTAAGTGGCAAGCACTCTGCCACTGAGCTATATCTCTAGCTCAGGAAATTGATTTTTAAAAGTATAGAAGAAGTATAATTGATATACTAAAAAAGGAGAGA